GGAGATTTGTGAGAGACAGTTTAACTTCCAAGTTCTCAGGAGAGAACAGGCCTCTAATAGCTGTGACTGGGGCTAGCCTGTCACCGGGGCACGTCGAGGGATGGACCAGAGAAACAGAAGAAATAAACTTCCTTCTGAGTAATCCCTCACTATGCAAGTGACTGAGAAGTAGGTCAGTAATCTGAGCTTCTCTCAGACTCACTATGATGTCAGGGCAAGAAATCTTTCTTCAAAATATGTCCTGAGTGCTGTTGTCTTGAAATTTCTGATTTTAAATCAAAGTAACTTATTTCCCAGGTAGAGAAAAAAAGGTTAAAATGCAAATAGCTTGAGAGAGCATTTACTCTTTGTGAATTTTTATCAAACCCAACAGAGTAGATGAAGGCCCCGAGTGTTTAAAGCGGGGCGTGTCTTTGGCAAGAGAAAGGATGTAGACGGAGAAAGCGAAGATGTCACCGTCTTGGCAGGGACTGCCTTGTTTATCATCATTTCCAAGTGGGAAAATGGAGAAAGAAGGGTTCAAATCTTCAGGGTCATCATCTAGGTTTATACCTAAGTGGAGGGTATCCATCTAAATTCTTTCCCCTGCCTTTTAGCCCCTTTTCTACCTTTCAACCCTTCGTCTCTTCCCAAAATCGTTCTTCCACCTGGATCCCGTGGCGTGATAGAAGCTCGTCCCCTCTTTTCTAGGGCCAGAGTTCAATCAGGTGACTTTGGAGAATGCTGCTCATCTGCGCATGTGATGTTAAGCTCATTTCTCCCCCAGTGTCCACGGGGCAGGGGCTCCACATCTCACGTCAGAAAGGCTTTACGGCAGCGTTTACATGCATTTTTCTGATTATCAGAGTGATCTATACTTATTGCAAAAAATTTTTAACAAAACAGTTTAAAAAAACTAAAATTCCTAGAGGCAGCTCCAACAACATTTTGGCATATTTCCTTCCAGTGTTTTTTTTTTTTTTTCCCTTTCATAATCGAGCTCTTTATTGTACATGCAACTTTGCATCCTGCTGTTTTTGTTTAACGTTATGGCATATATATTTGTCCATGTCATTGCATTTTTGTAGCTACGTAATCATCTGTAGCAGAGGTTCTCAACCTGTGGGTTGCAACCCTTTTAGGGGTCGAACAACCCTTTCACAGGTGTTGCTTAAGACATAACAGTAGCAAAATTACAGTTATGAAGTATCAACAAAAATAATTTTATGGCTGGGGGTCACCACAACATGAACTGTATTAAAGGGTCGTGGCATTAGGAGGGTTGAGAACCACTAATCTATAGTGTGGCTGTGCCATGATTTACTCAAGGTAATTTCTGATTTTCTTTTTTACTATTACAACTAACCCTGTGATAAATAGCCTTGTGCATAAATCTTTGCCCTTCTTTTGGGTGATTTACTAAAAGAGAAACTGGTGAATTAAAAGGTATACATGTTTTTGTTTTTTGTTTCTTTTCTTTTTCTTCTTTGAGTATACATGTTTTTAAAAGCTCCCAATATATATTGCTACACTGATTTCCAGAAAGATTATCCAATTGTATGTGAAGGGAAGGGAGAGAGAAACCTATTGGAATTACTGGATTTGTTAGAAAATATTTGACAGAAATTCTTTGTGTGTTTTTTTTTAAATAACGAAGAGAAACAGATGTGCATTGTTATACTCATTGCTATTTGCTCAGTTTCATGGTAGTCACTCAACAGTGGCTGCTACAAGTGTTACAGAGGATGGAGAACAGCAGATACACTTGTGCAGTGAAACTCAGGAGACTCTCCTTTAATGGGGTTAGGATGTTTGCTGGATGTTGGGGGTTTGGGGAGATAGGCAGAGGACCGGTCAGAGAAGGGGAAGAAGTGGAGAGAGGTGAGCGGTGCCCCTAGAGGAGGGGGACTTGCAGAGGCCAGTGCAGGAACACCCAGCCTCCCTCACACAGGGATGGCGCAGAGCTGGAGAGAGGGTGGCGCTGAAGCAAACCCTTTGGCAACCTGCGTAATAATGATGTCCTTTGGGTCAACCAGAGGTTTCAGGGAAATTTCTGTAAAATGGTGGTAAAGAATAAAAATAGCTGCAGGCGGGCCAGGCCTTCTCCTACACAAATTAGTTTTCCTGAAGATAACAGAGGGTAGTTACTCCTTGAGCACTGTGTTTCTGAACGATCACAGAAAGAATACACAGCAGTTATTTGGTGAGTGATTGAACAGATGCACAAATGGAAGACATGATGGCTGATAGACGGCTGGAGACATTTGCTGTCCATCTAATAACAAGTACCATGCATTTAAAAAGTATTTATTGCATATCAGTTCTATGCCAATCACTCCATTAAGTATTCTACATCATAGCTGCTCTTTTGACTTTTTATGTTTCCATCATTTTTTCCCCCCTAGAAACAGACACATAATCTCAGTTGTTTAAAAGGGGAAGGACTGAGAGGAAGATGCTCATATATCTACATTTCCCTTTCTCTCTCTGGCAGATAATATAGCTGAAGATACTTTCCCTTATACAATTTCAAAACAAAATGTCATTCCCTAACTTTAAAACTTGAAATGGCTCTCCTCGCCTGTCCTATGTAATCAAGTCCAAATTACATGACCTGTTCCTTTATATTCTTTTTACAGTCTGACACGTCATGATTTTTCCTTCCACTCTTCTGTATGTGTGTGAAATTTTTTATTGTGGTAAAAAAATAAAGCAACAAAAATGTTCATTGTAACAATTTTTAAATATGCAATTCAGTGGCATCAATTGCATTCAGTGTTGTCCATCAATCACTGCTATAGATTAACAACTTTATCACTCCAAAAGAAATTATATAATCATTATGTTCCTATTTCCTCAGTCCCTTATATCCAATAACTTACTTTCTATCTCTATGAATTTGCCTATTCTAGATATTTCATTGATGTAAGTGAAATCTTATAACATTTGTCCTTTTGTGGCTCATTTCACTTAGCATAATTTTTGCAAGATTCATCCATGTTGTACGTATCAGCATTTTGTTCTTTTTGTGGCTGAGTAATATTCTATCATTTGTATATGTACCAGTTTTTGTTCATAGATTTATCTGTGATGGACAATGGTCTTTCCCCTCCATCTTTAAATAGAAAATACCACAATGATGATGCTTTCAAACTGTGGGTCCTTATCTATTAGTAAGTTATGAAATCAGTTTGTTTGCTATGATCAGCATTAAAACAAAGAAAATAGAATTGAATAGAAAAACGAGAATGTATTGCACCTAGTTAAGGGTATTATTTTGTGAATATTTTGTTTCAGTTATGTGTGTACTGTAAAATATATTTCTTACTGAGGGATGGGATCAGAAAAAAATAGTTTGAAGCCACTGGTGTAATGGAAAGAGTGAGATTTGGAATTAGCCAGAACTTGGTTTGAATCTGGGTTCTTGGTGACTTTTACCAGTTATCTAACTTCTTTATGGCTCAACCCCTTTATCAAAAAAGGAGAATAATAATATATCCTTGTTTTGTGTGACCATGTGTGAAAAGATTAGCAATTACTTAAGTAGAGTGCCTAAAATATAGTCAGTGGTGAACAAGTACATACTTACTTCCAAATATGCTTAAAAATAATGCTCTCCCTGGAAAAAACACTTCATTCACTACGAGGAAGACAGTATGTGTTATTGATGACTAGACATATCTGTTTCTCCAATTTAGTTTTGTAAGGAGACTTGAACATATAGTTCTTTCCCCTTCCTATTCTTATATTGTATTTACATTTATATTATGGATTTGGGCACTTTAGTATACATCCGTCATATATTTTCTAATTATTTCACAGTTCGGCTAGTATTACAAATAGTCAAATATTGTCTGGCGCTTAAGACAGTGTTGGGCACATTACAGAGTGCTAGATGAAAATCTACTGAGTTTGGTCTACAGCACACCTTTTGCAAAGTGTCACATACAAGGGGAAGCAGACATAGTCCTGATTCCGCCAGTATTTCTCACCCCATCTACTCCATGCTAAATAGGCCCGTTAGGCACTAAGTCATGTCTCTGGGTAGTACAAGTGGAGGGTGTGAACAGAGAAACCACTCTGTAAAATTAGATTCTAACTTTCTCCTCCCTACTCCTATTCCCATCGGGGAGGGGGCATTTATGAGCCCCGAGGACCAGGGCCCCGAAACCGGCTGGCGTCCTGAGCTCCAGAGGCTTGCCAGCACGCACGATCCCCCAGGCACTGAGAGCCCTTCTTCCCAGATGAATCCTCATAGTATCACAGACAAGCGCAGTCTCGATCGATACTGGATGGCAAACGTGCTCCCACCGTCAAGTGTAGGAACAAGGGCGGTGGATTTATCAGCCCTGCTGCTTGGTCGCAGCTTCTCATCAGCTCGATATGGGCAGAGGATGTTAACCCATTCCCAGGCTGATACCCACCTGGTGGCCTCCCCAAGCCTGCTGCCCGATGTCCCTTCCTCTCAGCTCTGCTCCCGCAAGGCGGGGCTTTTCTATCAGGATCCCACTCATGGGGGCCGCAGGGTCACAGCCCGCAAGGAGGGTGCCAAGGACGGAAGGGCGCCGTTAGGTGGCCCCCCAGCAGGGCTCCTTGTCTGGTCCCTGGAGGCGGCTGAGGTGGGGAGTGCTGAGCTTCCTCACACTCAGGATCTTACCTTCTTGCGTCTTCACTAGTTGGGCGGCAGGTGGAGATGCGGAGGGCAGCCCCGAAGCCAGCAGCTGGGGCGGGATGACGCCGAGGTCAGGGGGAGGCGGGCAGGGGCGTGCTCTGTCCCCTGCCTGGTGTACCCTCGTGAGCCCAGCTAGGGGAAAATCCCGCCCCCAGCACCCGCTCCCACTCTTGATTGGACAGTCCAGCCTAAATAAAGGCGGCCAGTGGTCCCCTGGCCTGCGTCTCAGCTATAAAGGCTGTGAATGCATGACCACTGCAACGAAGCTCCAGTAGCTGAGGTGCTCGCCCGCTCTCAGCCCCCCTTGCACCCCCATTACTCCTTGCCCCCGAGCGCTCCAGACTCCACCATGCCAAGGGGCTTCCTGGTGAAGCGATCTAAAAGGACAGGCTGTGCGTACCGAGTGCGCCTAGCCCAGCGGGTCTTCCTCAAACCAGAGCCCCAGGGGGCGCCGCCCTTTACCAAGGAGGCTTCCAGTGCCCCCCAGCCGGATGCAGAGCAGGCGGCACCCCCTAGCCCGGAGGAGCCCAGAAAGGGGCTGGAGGAGGAAGCGGCCAGGGAACTGTTGGGGTCGCCTTGTCTGGCAGCTGGGGTGAGCCCGGGGGTGGATGGGCGGGAAGGTGCAGAGTGGAGGGTGGATGGCAGGGAGAGTCCCAGGGCCAGCTCCAGCCCCGCAAAGCCGGTGGGCGTGGAGCTGCGCCGGGCGTTTCTGGAGCGCTGCCTCAGCTCACCAGTCTCCGCGGAGTCCTTCCCCGGGGGCGCTGCTGCCGTGGCCGCTTTCTCCTGCTCAGTGGCACCAGCAGCCGCACCGACCTCGGGGGAGCAGTTCCAGCTGCCGCTCCGGGCACCGTTCCCAGAGCCTGCGCTCCATCCGGACCCCGCGCCCCTCTCGGCCACCCTGCACGGCCTAAAGCGGACCGCCGCTGGCGACCGCCGCGCCAAGGCACCTCTGAGCTGCGTGTCTGGTCCTGCGGCGGCCGCAGGAGTCAAGAAGCCAAAGGCCATGAGGAAGTTGAGCTTCGCTGATGAAGTGACCACATCCCCTGTCCTAGGCCTGAAGATCAAGGAGGAAGAGCCCGGAGCCCCGTCCCGGAGCCTGGGGGGCAGCCGCACGCCGCTGGGGGAGTTCATCTGCCAGCTGTGCAAGGAACAGTACGCGGACCCCTTCGCGCTGGCGCAGCATCGCTGCTCCCGTATCGTACGCGTGGAGTACCGCTGCCCCGAGTGCGACAAGGTCTTCAGCTGCCCAGCAAACCTCGCCTCCCATCGCCGCTGGCACAAGCCACGTCCCGCGGTGACAAACGCTGCCACAGTCTCGATGGACCGGAAGCTTCCTCCTTCGTCCTCCCCGGATTCCGGGGCTGTTGCTTCTTTTCTGGCGGAGGGGAAGGAGAACAGCCGGGCAGAGCAGACTGAAAATCAGCACCTGCAGGCCAGGGACAGCTCCGGGGTGGAGCAGCGTCCCGACAGCGCCCCATCCCAGGGCCTTCAGGTGTTGTCCCATCTCGAGGCACCGCTGCCTCGGGTCCCCTACACGGAGGGGGTATTGGGGCATCGGCTGCCGGGGCCAGGCAGTGCCAGTGGTATCGGGGGACACGAGATCTTCGTGTGCCCCTATTGCCACAAAAAGTTCCGTCGCCAAGCCTATCTGCGCAAGCATCTGAGCACTCACGAGGCGGGCTCGGCCCGCGCACTAGCCGCAGGCTTTGGCTCCGAGCGCGGTGCCCCATTGGCCTTCACTTGCCCACTGTGCGGGGCACACTTCCCGTCCGCAGACATCAGGGACAAGCACCGGCTGTGGCATGCTGTCCGGGAGGAGCTGCTCCTGCCAGCTTTGGCTGGGGCACCTCCTGAAGCTCCCAGCCCAGACGGGGCATCCGATGGGAATGCGCCGCAAATTTTCTCTTGCAAGCATTGCCCGTCCACTTTTTTCAGCTCTCCGGGGCTGACTCGGCACATCAATAAGTGCCACCCCTCAGAAAGTCGGCAGGTACTGCTGCTGCAGATGCCACTACGGCCAGGCTGTTGAGGGCCCAGAGAGACGGGATAGAATGCGAGGCTGGCCTCCAAGGAAACAGATCATGGGAATTTCTGTGGGGCTTTCTTCAACTTGCAAGTTTACCCCCATTTCCTTCCTATATTTTCTCTCCTAAAAATCCCAGTAGTCAATGTTCTGACACAGGAGCCGATAACCAAGTGTAAAACCCCTTTCTAGAACAGGTATGTATACGGATGGTATAAACATTCGAGGTCAAGGACTGTCAGCTTTAAATCTTTCTCACTTTGCCCATGAAAATAGGATTCCCTGTCCCCCAAACTCTGAAGAGCCTAATGAATCCTATCACTTGTAATTCCTATGGAAAGTCGCAGTGAATGCGTGCATGTCTCAATGTCTACAAAATCTTTTCTTTTCTGTTACCACTGCAGATACTTATGTAGTTTCTGTCTCAATAGGGTCAGATATCTTGGCATTGTATATTCTGTGAATTAAAAGTTGTGATTGGTGCCAAACTGCCGGGGTGGGGGAGATTCAAGACCTGTGCCTGTAGGTAGGGAATCTAAGAGGGTGTTTGAGTTTTGGGGGGATGTGGGGATCTCCCTGTAAGTTGTCCTTTTCTCAGTCCATTTTTAAGTTAGTGTTCGGAGGTGGGGTGTTACTTTACAGGAAGGAGCTGAGATACCCCCAAGATTCTCACCTTTAGCTATATTGTGTGTATTATTCAGAGGGAGATACTTTAAACCTTTAAAAAATAATAGCTTTTTGGAAATATAGACCTCATTTCCTGAAGTTTAACTGGTTTACTAGGGTTTCATCCAAACTGTTTAATGCTTCTGTTGTAAATCTCATACTGTATATCATATATTAAACTCTGTTCAGCTTAAGGAAGATGTTAATACCTACAATCCACTGTGGAACTGAATTCGTCATTATCCAATATTTTCTTTCCATCAACCTGTTCTACAATTTTTTTGTAAACCATATGCAGTGTACATTCTGTACCCATGTCCTAATCGCCAGAGTTTGGGACACTGGCTGAGTGAGTATTGCTTGACAGATAGCCCATATTTGTAAGATGCTTACCACCAAATAAATGTACATAGCTGGTGCTTTGTTGTGTTCTGTGTTTGTCTTAAGAATCCCATTAAACACAGCCTATTTTTAAAAGCTACATCTTATCTCCCCAAAGCCAGTATCCTACTTGAGAATTTAGTGACCCACTTAGATAGAAAACAGCCAGGAGAAATTATATTTTGTAAATGAATGTAATGGTGAGGAAAATGCAATGGAAAAATTTCCTTTAAAGTATTGCTGCACAAACAGAGCTCCAACAGGCAGAGAATATGCACTATTCTTTACAGACATTTTACCACCCCAAAATGTCTACAGAAAATATATTTTAAATATTTTTTTAAAAAGCTAGTGTTATCTAAGATGAAAAAAATCATGTTAACTGTGCTAATTAACCTTCACTAGTTCAAGTTGGTATTTTCACTCCATTTTGTTACATATCATCAAATCGTTAGCTGTTCATTAAAAAAAAAATTAAAAGCACTGTAGAAACATGTAAGCAGTTACTTTGGTTTTCCGCTTTGTAATTCTTCATTTTTGTTGTGGGAAACTGTCTGTATTGTTTAATCTAGTTCCAAGGGCCATTTGTTTATTGCATTTCACAGACATTTTAGTTTATTTTCTACATTGTTTCATAGAAACTTATTAAAAAATAAATAAAAACTTAAGTGCACAGGTTTTAGAAATTGTCTGTAGAAAGTTTTGTTCCTGAATGTATACTATAAAGCAACGTAAATTTAAGAAATCAAAGAAGCATGAGGCTGAGGTAAATTGATACTTTAACCAAGTGTACTGGGTGAAGTTTCTGGCCAGGGAAGGTGCACAATTTCCTGCATTTTTAATGACTGTGATAGGATCCCTGAGAAATATTAGGGGTGTATCCTGAGACTTCAAACCAATTTTTTCATGATTAAGGTAATCTAGGTTTATGCTTTACATCTCTCCATTAATCATATAGCCCTGATTCTTAAATTGGAAAATATACAAGACAAAAAACACTAAAGGACATAAGTGATAATATTTTTATTGTATTACTAAATACCATATATATTTTTTTCACTGTTACAAATTTGTTGATACTACATGAATGATGATACATAATTTATATTTTATAGTTGGCTGGTATGTATTTACACATGCAGTTTGTACCAATGTCATGCTACATTTCCTTAGGAGATGTCCATTCAAAACAAAATTGAGCAATATGTGAGCAGCTTATCTACTGTAGGAAAATACTTTTGGAGGGTGGAATGTATACCAACCTGCACCTGCAAGTTCAGTATTAACAATATTAGATTTAATTTAGACTCCTGGGTCATGTTCCTTTTTAAAAAAATACAAATAATTTAACACATTTATATCAGAAAAGTTTTTTCCTTCTTTTCTTCCTTCCTTCCAAATCCCCCCTTTTTGGTACTTAAGAAAGAACACAGATACACCAGGATCCACTAGCCAATAATAAAGGGCTACATCTAAAAAAAAAAGGCATTTAATAGTGATACCATTTAAAAAGCAAAACATTAGGAAAATATTGAAGCTAAACATAAATCAAAGTTCAGCACAGTGATTTTTCTGGCTATATGTCAAGGAATCACTGCACAGTCGAGAAACGAGGCATTGCTTTGGGGAGAAAAAGTTAATGCTAAAATTATTTCAGTTAGAATTTCAGATGCTAAAAGACCATTTATTTTGTGTTTTATTTTTATAACATAAATAATCCATACACATCCTGTGTATTAACAGATTTGCAACTTCTGCTATAACTTTACAAATGCTTAAATTTAAAAATTTACATTTGTAAAAAAACTATGTATTTACTGAGCCCATAATGTTGCAAGGGGGCATGATAAATAATGAGACCAGCTGTCTAATTATATTTTGTTTCAAAGTTAATCATGAAATTAAAGGTAAAACTTCTCAGACATAATTATCTAGAAAGGTAAAGGGGTATTGAATAAAACTCCCCCCAAGGCAGGTTGGAGTATGGGGGGGGGGGGAGGAAGCAACTGAATAAACAAATCTAAAATATTAAGTAACAAATTATTTAAATCCAGTGTTTTTTTTTGTTGTTGTTTTTTAAACAATAAATGTTCAGGAAGGAACATGCATGTTGTGGCAAACATGAGGGCCCGAAAGGGCTAACACTATGTTCATGCTAAGGTGGCTACTACTGATCTCTGCTGGGCTGCTTGTCTCCTTAGGATTTATTGGCTGAGCCAGAGGAACGACGCAGCTTCATGGACATACGGCTTTTGCTAGTTCGAGGAGACATTGGAGAGGCCAGGTCAGCCCCATCTACCTGCGTTGCTGTGGGAGTTTCACTGGGTAGAATCTCTGGGTAGGAGCCTGTGGGAAAAAGCAAGAGCATTCTTATAGGTCAGGTTATCCAGCCTCTCATCCCATAAAAAACAACCTTTCGATACTGATCTGTATGTAGCAATGGATCCCAACCTTTAATGAGGTCTTTTGAGAAGAGCAAGCCCAAAACTTGCTTGTTACAACAGTACCTAATATTTTATTTTAAGCCCAATGACCTGATTGTTCATGTCATCATAATAGCAAGAAAACGTCAATCCTTAGTTCCAGAGCCCAGAGCCCAGAGCCAAGCAGAGAGCTCCCCCAGAAAAAGCAACGGGAAGCAAAATCTTTGGGCCAGAAAGGACAGGGATCCAAAGCATCATTAGCATGCAGGGAAGGGCTTAAGAAGCAGGTAAGAAGGACCAATTCCTATCTTTAGGGTATAACCAAGAAAAGGGCCTTCATTACTTAAACTTGAAAATAACAATAACAATCAGTTCCAAAAAAACCTCAGCACTATGAGACCATTATATACACTAGGTATTAAAATATGCTTTCGAGGAAGGACGAAGACAAGGATTCACACATGAAAGTCAGTTAAAAAGAAAAACTGATCCCTCAAAATGTCTCAGTTTAGAGGAGATAAGCAATGCTTTTCTTTACTTAAATTTTGCAATTACATTATCCAGTCCTAGCAAACAGGTGAACTGTAGAATTAGGAGATATAAAAAATAAAAAAAGAAAAAAACAAGTTCAAATTAGAAAATCCTTTTCGTCATTTACAAAGTAGTTCTTCACCTCTGTATTTTATTTCCATGAACTATGATTCTTTAATATACAGAAACTCTATAGAAATTTGTACATTATAGGCTCTCAAATATTTTCTAAATGAATAAGAAATTAATTGAAAAAATAAAAGCCCTTCAAAAAAAAAAAAAAAAAAAAAAACCACACACACACACACACAAAACCCAAAGAAAATCAGCAAACAACAGAATAATGATTTTAAAAATTCTGTATATTTTTTAAGGCACTTTAATCCAGATTTTCTGGGTCTAATGTACATAAAAATTTTCTTTGTGTGTCACAGACATACAGACACACAAACAGGTTGCAGGCTTAAATTTACTCATCTCCTTACTCTGTAGGGGAAACCTTTGACAAATTTTTAGCCAATGTAGCACCTCCCTGACACTTCAAGCTTGGACATAATTATACTAGCACTTCTGTATAATAAAACATTTGTGCCTAAATTGAAGTTATGAATATTTATAAGGAAACACAAGACCATTCAATAAGGGGTACATGTCCTATTGAGATGTATCTCTTTCATTATTAAGAATGTGTCTCGGTAGAACACTTCAAAATGTTTTTAAGGCCAAATGTTCTAATTATGCTTAGGAACAAACTTACATTGTAAAAGAAAAAATATTTTATTACTCAGAATCCAGGTCAACTGCCCTGCTTTTCAAAGTAACTTCTCCAACATTCTTTCTTTTCTAACTGAAATGAGGTTGGCCTTCAAAATACAAGGAGAAGGAAATATATTTCTGTTCACCTTTACTCTTCCTGAAGATCTTAACTGGTTGATACTGGACCCATACTGGAAAACCTAGAGGAGAACATGAACCCATGGCCCTTTCAGGAAAGCACTGCAGATG